AAAAACCTTAACAAAGTGACATGATTCACAACTGTAAGGAAATGGAACCAGTGTAGATGTCCATCAGCAAAGGAAAGGACAATAAAAATTTGGTGGAGTATGGTGGCAAAAGCTTTTAATTCTAGCTGAAGCAAGCAGAGCTCTGTTGAGTTCAAGGCCACTCTGGTCTACATAGCAAGTTCCATGACAACCAGGGCTATATAGTGAAACCCTGCATCAAAAAAGAAAATAAACAAATAAATAAATAATAGAAAAATAAATTAGTGATATAAAATACACAATGGATTTTATTCAGCTGTAAAGAAAAAGGAAATCATGAAATGTGCAGGGGAACTCATTGCTCTAGACAAAATTAAGCAAAGTAACTCAAACTCAGAAAAACAAAATTCACCTCTCTCATGCATAAAACCAAACTTATATATGTGCACATTAGTGAGGCTTAATATGTGCACAGAGGCTATGAAACTAGAAAAGAGATCACAACAGGGAGAAAGAAACATTGAGGCATTAGGAAGGGCAACAGGCAGGGCAACAGGCCACCTGTGACATGACATCAGAAAGATGGCTGTGAGGATAAGAGGGCACATTCAGGGCTTAGGACAATGAAAAAAGAGAGGTGAAAAGAAACAAATTTTGTTTGAAATGTCATAATGAAACTATGCTAATTTAAATTATGCTAATTTAAATTATTAAACCAAAAAATAAATTAAAATTTTGAAACTAAGCAAAGCAAGCTAAGGTGTAGCTCTGTTAGTAGAGCATTTGCCCAAAAATGCACAAAGTCCTGAGCTTCATCCCCAGCACCATATAAACCAAGTGTGGTGGTGTATCCTGCAATCTCAGCACTGGACAAGTAGAGACAGAAGGATCAGGAGTTCAAGGTTATATTCTGCTGTGAGACTTTGCATCAACAAGGTCAGGACATCCTGTCTCAACCTGGCCACTACCTGAGACATAAGGGTTGTGGGCTTAGCCATGTGTACTGTGGGTTTTGAGGGCTCTACCCAGTCTCACAGGGGTACAGTTATCCAGATTGCCATGAGTGGACTACTCAGTTTCAAACCCTAGTTTAGAGCTGGGTGAGATAGCAAATGCCTGAAATCCTTTCACTTAGGAGGCTGAGGCAGGAGGATCACAAGTTCCAGGCCAGTGCAGGTTGTAGCAAAAGACTCAGTCAAATAAAAAGGCCTGGAGCTGGAGGGATGGCTCAGAAGTTAAGAGCACTAGCTGCTCTTCCAAAAATCCAAGTTTGATTCCTATTACCTATGTGGCAGCTCATAACCATTTGCAACTCCTGTCCCAGGAAATCTGTTGCCATCTTCTGTCCTCCATGAGCACCAGTCATACATATGGTACACAGACATACATGCAGACAAAACATAAATACACGTTTCTAAAGAAGGGCTGGAAGATGGCTCAGTTGCAAGTATTTATAAGCCTGTAGACCTGAGTTCCATCCCCAGAACTCACATAAAAAAAAAAAGCCAGGCATGATAGCACACTTGTAATTCCAGAAACTCAGGCCTCTATCTCAAATATAAGGTGGAATGCACCTGAGGAATGACACCACGCCCAAAGTTGTCCTCTGGCTTCCACAGATACATGCACAAACATCCATCAAACACACAAACTAGCTAAAACTCGTGACATGCATAAAATACCAGAACTTGAGAAGGTAAAGAAGACTGTTGAAAGTTCAGGACCAGCATAGGCTAAACAGTGAATTCTAGGTCCACACAGGCATGATGGAATGATACCCTGAATCAAAAGAGATCTAGATACAGATATATAAATCTCAGCTCAGATATTATGTGGTCCATGTAGCTTAATTTCTGCCACCTATAAAAATGAACACAGCCAATGGAAATAGCCCTACTGCCTAGCAACTGAAAAATGAATAAACAAGAGGTCATTAGCCTACACATTGGGTTATTGCTGAGCTATAAAACAGAACAAAGCAGTGGCACACATTGTAGCTCAATGACCTTGGAAAACACTGTGTTCACAAAAAGGCCAACCACAAATATCAAATATACAGTGATGTGTGGCCCCTCACTCTTGTACTCCCAGCACTTGGGAAGCTGAGGCAGGACTACTCCAGGTTCCAAGCACAGGTTACAGTGAATCCAAACCACTTGGCAATAGTATGTGACTACATCTAAAGAAAAAGAAAAAAAAAAAATCACTTCAGGTGTGGTTCTGCATGCCTTTAATCCTAGCATTCAGGAGACAGAAACAAGAGGAATCAGGAGTTTAAGTAACTCTCAGGAAAACAGGGATTCAAAGCCACCCTGTCACATTAAATCCTGCCAAAAAAAAAAAAAAGATCCAGAAATATGTTTCATCAGGTAAAGGTGCTTGCCTCCACACCTGGCAACCTGAATTTGACTCTTGGGATCCAAATAGTAAAAAAGGAGAACCAATTCTTGCAAGTTGTCCTTTGATCTCCACACAGCCACTATGGCATGCAAGCAAACACATTCCCACACATAAACTACACAAATAAATACAAAAAAATGCATATGCAGAGAAACACATGGGGGTGGGGGTGGGGGTGACTTGTGCATGTATTTGTGTGAAAACTCCAGATCAGGGAGATCCATAGGGTCAGAAAGTGATTAGTGTTGCTGGGGGGAGGGAAGGAAGAATGGGAGAGTAAATGCTAATGGAAACAGGACTTTTTTTTTTTTGGGGGGGGGGGATTTTTCGAGACAGGGTTTCTCTGTAGCTTTGGAGCCTGTTCTGGACTAGCTCTGTAGACCAGGCTGGCCTCAAACTCACAGAGATCCACCTGCCTCTGCCTCCCGAGCGCTGGGATTACAGGCCTGCGCCATCACCGCCCGGTGGGAACAGGATTTCTTAACTTACATTTTGGTAGTGGCGGCTGTTGTTGAGGAGACAGGGTGTATGTAGTAGACCAGGCTAAACACAAACTTGTGATTAACCAGCCTCATCTTCCCCAGTGCTGGGACTGCAGGAGTGCACCACCAAGTCCCATGGGATTGGAGTTTCTTTGAGATGATGTAAGTCTCTCAGAACCAGAACACACAACATTGTGAATATGCCAAATGCACTGGACTGTGAGCTTTGAGATAGTTAATGGTTAATTTTAAGTTATGTGAATTTTCCTCTTCGACAAAGAGAAGGAAAAAATGGTCAGAATTGGACAAGGATACTCAAAAGCCCTCCCTGCCCTCCCCATCTTCCCACTCAAGGCCCTGGCATACCCCTTCCTGGCTACCTTGATACCACTTAGAATGTATTGAGCCTTCACTTACCATATGCCCAAACCTGTGCCCACACAAACAACATCAGTCTCTACATGGGCTACATAGCATCCCCCCATGTCCTTACCCCATGTCCAAGTCCATGACTGGGGTAGGAATGGCACTCCAGTTGCCTAGGAATCCTTCCTGTTTGCCAAAGTAGGGCCACCCTTTCCCCTAAGTAAAACAGTAAGGGTAAAGGAGAAAAAAGATGTGACAAGGGACGTAGCTCAGTAAAGTGTCTACATAAACAAAGTGTAATCTGTATTGAAACCTGAGGTAATCCCCCTGCCTCAACTCACTCTTGTAATCTCACCACTTGTAACACTTGGGATTACAAAAAAGAACCACCACACATGACTGTAGGCAGACACCTGGCATACACAAAGCCTTGAGTTCCATCCCTAGCACTCCACAAAAGCCAGGCATGGTAGTACATGCTTATAATCCTAGCACTGAGGAGAGCAAGGCAAGCAGAAACAAGAGTTCAGTCATCTTCAGCTATATGAGGAGTTCAAGACCACCATGAGTTACATGAGACCCTATTTCCAAGTGAGAGATCCTAACTGGGCAACCTCTGCTTTACACCTTAGGACTCCCAATGCCTTAACAGCCACTTAAATCCAGTAGGCACATGAAGGAGCCCAACAGATATCCACACAAAAGACAAAAGATATCCACACATGTTGATATGTGTTACAGAAGTGCTTTTCTCCCAGTTGGAAATGGCCTGCTGTGGCTCTCTCTGCAACATTTTGTTGGTCAAACTGGGGATCCAAGTGTCAGCATAAAGGGCCAAGGAATGCCTTGTTCCCTACCTACCTCCAAGAGGCTCTACCATCAGTTAATGCATCCCCATTCTGGCTAAAGCATCAACTGCTATTTCAAAAACCCAGCCCCAACACACTGCCCAAATCCAGATTCTGCTTCATCCACCTTCCCCTGTAAGGGACTGGGAGAGCAGGGTTCCAGAGCCAAAGCAGTTCCCACTTTCAGGAAGCCCTCCTGGTGCACATTCCCTCCCTCTGCATTCAGCATCTTTATCAGTAGCCAATCACTGCCTACCAGGAACCAGGCATCAGAGCTCCATGAATTCCTTTTGTTGAGATTTTTGTTGGGGCGGGGGGAGCTCAAAAGAGTGTGTGTATGTGCAGGCGCATATGTACAAGTATATATGTATATACATGTATATTGAAACCCAAGGTTAAAAAATGTGAGTGTATGGGGGAGTGTGCATGTATGCCTATGTGTGGGCTCATATTAAAGAGTCCACATGTATGTCTATGCATGCATGTGTATGTGAACACCTGACATTGATGACAGGAATCATCCTGGATTATTCTTCCATGATATTCAATGAGGCAGGATCTCACTAGCTAGCTTGCTCTGGGGATCCTGTCCCTGCCTCAAGGCTAAAATTACAGGCAGGCCAAGAAACCCACCCCACATTTACATGGTTTTTGGGGATCCAAACTATGTTTCCATGCTTGTGCAACAAGTGCTTTAAACACTGAAACATATCCCGAGTCCCTCCTCTTTATTTTTTGAGACAAAATTTCTCACTGAATCTCAAGCTCTCAGGCTAGACTATCTGGCCAGCAAGTCTCTGGCATCCTCCTGTCTTCATACACACCCTCAGCAAAAAGATGACAGGCAAATCCAGCTTTCTACATGGGTTTTGGGGATCTGAACTCAGGTCCTCTTGCTTGCACAGCCTCAGAATTCCGATACTCATCATGAGACCCCAGGTTAATAGGTACCACCAAAGATGCCGAGAGGTATCTCCTCTGCCAGTCGGGGGGACTCCAACAGTCCCCACCACTTTACTTACGAATTTATGGGCTAAGAGTCTGAGAAGAGCTTTGCCTTGTTACTCAGAAGTCAAGTTGTACATTAACTGCATTTTCTTGTTTTCTGTATTATTCATGCTCAGGTATCTGGGACCTCGGTTATCACCTCGGGACAGTCCCTCCCTCCCAGGGCTAACTCACCACTAGACAGTAAACAACCTGCTATCCTAGAACAAAACTATTTCACAAAACATCAACCAACTGGGGAAGAGAGGAAACAAGGTCGCCCTGAATAGCCTGGACATTCCTTGAAGTCCAGATCTTCACGCCTTAACCTCCCCAGTAGCTAGGATTACAGGTATGTACCATCAAGCCTATTACTTCTAATTCTCCTACCTCGCCTTCCCAAGTGCTGTGATTATGGCCTTACAACAACAGGGAATAGCCAAGTTCAAATCAGGATTGCCCAGCTTCCATGTCACAGAAGAAGCCATGACAAAGGACTCTCAAACAAGGGGACACCACCTCAGCTCTCCCCCTCTTCTGTTAAGCCCACTGTTAACACAGGTGGACTCAACACCCAACCTGACTTTCTGCAGAAGGCCGAGTAGCAGAGGACATGTCCAGAACACCGTCCCATGTTCTCTTGGCTGAAGGCTCCCTTAGAAGGTGAAAGGGGATCCAGAAGAGACCCCAGGCTGCCCAGGCCAAGGGAAACAGAGGCTAGAGGCAGGCAGAGGAGGTAAAGAAACTTTAATCACCACCCATCAATATGAGCAGCAGGAGTGTCTAAGCCAGGGTGGCCCCATTTCTTGGGAGCAACCTGGGGCCGGCCCCTCAGTCCTGGCTATGGCAGTTCTCCATCCAAGCTCCCCACATACAAGGGGAATATCTGAGGACCCCTAGTCTCTAGGACCACATCTGTAGAAGCTTAAAATCAAAGTTCTCTGTGGCCAAGAGCCCAGGTCTTGAGAAGCCAGCAGCTGCCTGCATGTCCCACTGTGGCTTTGCCCCGGTCTGACTGCACTCAGGGCCAGGTGGTGACCACGTATCCTCAGATCAGTGAGGTTTTCCTTTCTGACAGCAGCAGAGACTCCTTCACAGCCACCAACAGCCCTGGTGGGGGCAGGTAACCCTGACCTCGGAGTCGTAACAATATGAGGAGAGTGGCAGAAACCAGGATGGCACTCAACACCCCTGTGGGGGACAGACAGATGGTCAGAGGAGTGGGGCAAGGAGGGCAGAAACTATCAACACTAATATGTAGGCAGTCTACTATATGTCCCCTCCAGTCACCCCAAGCTCCTCACAAGGGAAGGCCTATCTTACCAGCAGCTGCAATAACCCCATAGGCATTTGGGTTTCGGGAAGGGTTCCCAGCAGAGGCAACTGTTGCATTCCTGAGAGAGGTCTCATTCTCCAGGGTCATAGGAGTCCTTGTAGTTGTAGCATTCTCCTCCTGGAAGATCTTGTCAGTTTCTATGTTGGTGTCTGCAATAAGCCCAGGCATCAGTAGAGAGGCTTAGCAGTGGGGTGCATAAGGGTTCCAGGTGCCAACTCTTAGAACTCATCCTGATCTAAGATTGAGCAGAACTGGTGAGAAATCACTATTCCTGATGATGTCTTATCCTCTACCACAGAGATGAAGGCCTGGGAATATGCATGTGTTCACATCCTCAATCTAGTCACACATGGGAAGATAACTAATGTCCTTCAGTAACTGTCAGCCCTCCCCACCCACACAGGTATACCAAGATCCCAGGGCACGTACCACAGCTGAGCTCATCACTGGAGTCGGGACAGTCTGGGTGGCCATCACAGCGCCATGTGTGTGGGATACAGACATCGCCCAACACGCAACGCAGCTCACCCTCCTGACAGGGCTGGCGGCTGCAGTTGAGAAGGTTCTTGTCAGAGCCAGCAGGGCAACCACTGATGTTGTCACAGGAGCAAGGAAGGGTAGCCAGTGGTTGGCACTGCCCTTTCTGAGCACATGGCTCAATCCCTGAAACATACGGTCAATCAGGTTCCAAACATCCACACAAGAAAGCCCAGTATTATGGGCATGATGGTGCACACCTTTAATCCCAGAACTCAGGAGGCAGAGGAGGGTGGATCTCTGAGTTTGAGGCTAGTCTAGTCTACATAATGAGTTCTATGAGAACCAGGGCTATGTAGGAAAACCCTGTCACAAAAAAAAAAAAAAGACCCAGTACTTCATTAGCTGCCCAATTCCCTCTAAATCTTAGCTTCTAAAAGCAACTAACTGAGCTGGGAGTGGTGTCTCACTACTTTAATCCCAGCACTTGGGAGGCAGAGCAGGTGGATCTCTGTGACTTTGAAGCTAGCCTAGTATACATTAAGAGTTTCAGGCCAGCCACGGATATATAAAATAAAATTTGAAAAGTTTCCCCAGGGCTAAGTAGATAACTCAATGGGTAGATACTTGCTGAACAAGCATGTGGACTGAGTTTGATCCCCAGTACCCATGTAAATGCCAGGTACAGCAACTCACATACCTCATCACAATGCTAAGAGTGCAGAGAAACAGGTGGATCCTAGGGGATCTTGGGCCAGCCAGTCTAGCTGAAACTGGAAACCCCAATTTTAGTGAAAGATGATCTCAAAAAGTAAGGTGGAGAGCAACAGAATAAGACACCCAGTGTCAACCTCTGGCCTCCATGCACACATAACATGCTGGCAAATATACTTGCACACACATGTACCCAAACAGACACACACTAAATAAAATAAAAAACAGCTGACTCTGTGTATAAAGGCTTACCCTATGTAAAGCTTCTACCTGCTGTTCTTGTCAATCTCACCTTCCAACATCTAGTCTTCCTACAGTTCCCTCTCTAATTTGTTCAACCTCCCTACCCGCCTGCCTTAAATTCCAACTTTTTGTTTTTGATTTTATTTTTGATTTCAGACAAGGTCTCACTATGTAGCTCTGGCTGGCCTGGAACTCTCTGTACAACAATTGGCCTCAAACTTCAAGACACCTACCTGCCTCTGCCTCCAGAGTGCTGGGATTAAAGGCAAGCCCAACAGTCTAGTCCCATAGACTCCACCTTGTCCTACTTTGCCATTGCCACTCACCCAGCCCTATAACCACAGCCATAATCCCACGCCCCTAACTGGCACCAGTCCAAACTTCCATTCTGAAATCCCTCTCCAGGGATGGTCACTTACTACACTCCTCCTCATCACTGCCATCAGAGCAGTCTGGGTCCCCATCACAGCGCCAGGAGAGGGGCACACAGTAGCCATTGGTAATACACTGGAAGTTGTCTGTCGGGCACGAGCCAGCTCGGGGGCCTGAGAGATAAAGATAAATAAGGCCTGGGGGAGGGGTTGTCCAAATCTATAACATATTCCAAGACAATGGTTATGAGCTGCAATCTGTTGGAGACAAGCCATGTCCCAGGGTGCAGAAACTACACTGGCAGTCATCCTCTGCAGAGTACTGTGTATGTGTTGTTTGGGCCCCAGAAGTTCATGCATGCTGCTAGGTCAACAGTGCTCACCTCTTAACTAGACCCCTAGTACCTCATCTCCACCAGGACAGAGCATCAGAGTCCTCTCAAGTACCCACTTTTATCACCCACTATCCCCTGGCACCCAGGCCCTCCCACAACCAAATCTAAATCCCTTCTTTCTTCAACACACTCCCTCTCCCTCTACCCTGGCCTCCTTCTCAGTTCATCTAAGAGACCTGGCTCCTTTTCACCACAGGGCCTTTGCATGTGCCTCCCTCAGCCTAAAGGCCCTTCCCTCCCTTTCTACCACTCTGTATTCTGGGGAGGGTGGGAGAATATCTAGACCCTTTTGCATGCTAGGCAAACATCCTACCACTCAGCTATATCCCAGCTACTCCCCCACCTGATCCTTCCACTCTACATCTGAGATTCTTCTGCAGCCTTCACATCTCAACTTACACCTGGGGCAGTGTCTCATGAACTCCAGGAAGCTCTGCTTCCCACAAATAACAGCCCCTAACTACTAACATCCATCTTCCTATTGACATGGCCTCTGTCATGGCCTCTGTGATTCTGCACAGGTCAGTGCCTGACAGTGTGTGGACAAGAGGTCATATAAGGGTCCACATTGGGTCCAAATGAAATATAAGCCTTTCCTGGACTCTGAACAGGGAGGCTAGGGCTGTTTGTTGATCTAGAGGAGCAGGCAGTGAAGGGACCTGGTACTTGAACCAGCAGGAAGGAAGGGGAGGGCTTTAGAGCTTCCAACCTCACACACAGGGCCAGAGCTTTCAAGACCCCTCTCTCTCCATGCAGTCAAATGCAATTACACTAGTATACCACATACTCTGTGGAGTTGGAGAACTGGAGAATAAACCCTGGCCACCTTCCTTTCCTGCCTCAGGCATAGCCTCCTCTCCATACCTAACAACTCACAATCCTGACCTCTCCCTGACTTTCCTTTGAGTGGGCCCAGAGCAGGGCCCAGAGCAGGGCAGACCCTGCCTCATGAGGCAATTTATCAGACAGGAGTCAGGATGATTCATGATTTTTCCTCCTAGCCTGTTTCCTCATCTGTAAAAGAGGAATACTAAAGCCAGGCATAATGATGCTCATCTGTAACCCCTGCTCTTGGAAAGCTGGGACAAGAGGACTACTTGTAGCTACAGACTAACCAAAAGTGGAAGGAAGTACTCTACAGACCCATACAACTCTTATCAGATGAAGTGGCCCAATAACCCTTGTGCTGGGGAGACTAAGGCAGGAGGCACAAGCTGCAGTCTAGCCTATGTTACACAGTGAGACCCTGTCTCAAAAATAAGAGCCAGTGCCTGACTTTAATCCCAGCATTCTGGAGGCAAAGCCAAGCTGATCTCTAGGAGTTAAAGCCCAGCCTGGTCTACATGGCAAGTCCCAGGTCAGCAGGGCTACAATGTGAGAACCTGTCTCAAAAAAAAACTCAAAACATAATAAAAATAAATAAATAAATAAAATAAAAAATAAAAAAAATAAAAAAAAACTTAAAAAAAAAACATTCAAAGCAGTAAAGCCTATTTTTCTATAGATTGGACAGTCCTATATAGAACGAACATCCTGTTCCTGCCCAGGACAGTTGCCTGATGTCTGGGGTTTACCAAGTGAAATACACTCCATTTGTGAAATACATTCGAGGGCTCCTTCTTCCGTTATGTGAGGCAGGAATTCAAAGAGAAAGAGAAACTCTGGATTCTCAAAGAACGGCCACAGAACTTCAGGCTCAGGGCCGAGGGTTTCACAAAGGCATACCTGCTGCAGGAAGGTGCCAGGTGACCAGCACTGCGAGGTAAGAGGTCAAACAAAATCAGAAACGTAAGTCTTCCAGCCCACGCTGGGCTGAAGGACGACTTGGAGGTGACATGGGGACAGAGCGGGAAGGAGGAGGCAGCTGGGCACGGGGCAGCAGAAGACAGCAGACACCCACGTGGAGGTCCCTGCAGCAGACATATCAGGGCTGGCTCTACCCACGCTAAATCCAAACCCGCGTGCTGGAGGAGTGTCTGAGACGGATGGGCGATACAGCCAATAGTGAGGCGATGTCAGGGGGCGGGACGAAAGCGGTGTAGGGACGGGGGTCACTCACCAGAGACCTGGACTTGGGTCGGGGCCACGGCCGGGGCCGGAGCAGCCTCTAGGCCGAGTCCAAGCAAAAGCAGCAGCCGCAGCGCCAGGCCCAGGGCCGCTGCCCGCCCCGCTCCGCCCCGCGCCATCCAACCGCTAGCCGTACTGCGCTCCAGCCGCGGCTACACGCAGTCTGAGAAAGCCGTTCTGACTCTCGCGCACGCGCACATAAAGGCAGTGGGAGTGGCACCTGCGAGCCTGGACCGTAAGTACCAGAATACAAGGGAACCAAGAACTTACATCTCTTCCAGGCTTTTTCCCAGCAGCAGTCTGATGGATTTGGTAACCTGGGCCTGTACTCCCAGCTATTATACAGGAAGCTACTCTTCCTCTTAAGAGGATCACAGGGCCAACTTAAGCAATTTAAGGAGACCCTACCTCAGAATAAAAGTCACCCAAAACACGTCAGGAACAAGGGGAATAACACAGGTAGAGCACTCGCCTAAGTAATCAGGAGGCTCTAGGTTTAAACTCCAGGACCAAGAAAATAACAACCTCATCAACTTGAAATAGTAAACTTGCAGGTCTATAAATAAACTTACCAATTTTGACCTAAACTTCACATGCAAACTACTGCAAATATAACTGCCCAATGGTCCCAATGAACATGGCAGCCACACCCTGTGAACACTCCCCAGCAGGTACCTCCTCCAGCCTCTCTGGTGCCACCTACAGATTTGATGATTTATTTACTTTATTTCACCTTATTGTCTAATTACCCACTAGAATGCCAGCTGCAGGTGGGTATGTTGGGTTGCTGACTGTTGTGCCCTTGATGTCTGGCACATGCCGTGAAGGAATGATGGAATAAACAAATGAATAAAGGTAATTACTGGCTTTCAACCTGAGCAGTCCCATCCACTTGGATTCCATGCCAATCTCATTACCTCTAATTCTCACAGACTTGAGAGACACTTTATTCTGACACCCTCATCCTTGGGCAGTCGGGGATAGATACAGATTGGAGGCCTTTGGGTTTTCTCATCCCACTTGTATACAGTGGGTGCATTAACTCTGCTATCCAGTATGACTAGTGATTTGTGGTGGTAGTGTTCTGTTGGTCTGAGATAGTTTCTCAAGGCATAACGCAAGCTGGCCCAAAACTGATCATCCTGCTGTGGACTCCTAAGTGTTAAGGATACAGTCATGTACCACCCAGTTTAGTGTTTTTTTCTTCACACTGTTTCCCAAAGTTCTACCTTCAGAATCTATGCCACTACCTCTCAGCAGGGCTGGAGACAAGTCACTGTCCCTCAGTGGACAAGTTTTCTAAAATGTAGCCTTCAAGTCCAGACTTTCACACAAAGGTTCTACTTGCAGATGGATGGTATCTCACCACTGTAAAATGTTGGAAGTTATAACTGCTTTGGGTGTGCACTGTCCCACCAATTTCCAGAAGACAGAAAAACAATATACAATGGTGTTCAGATGCAGAGAGATGCAAACAGGGTAAATGGAACAGCCCAGGAAAGGGAGAGAAGCATCATGCTTTTGAGGATCAGGATCTTGGTGGAGGTATCATCTAGGGTATTGGGCAGATCCTGGATTTGCAAAGAGCAGTGCAATGTACTTATGAATTGCCCAGTAACACAGCCAGTTCTCAAAGAGCCTAAAAGAGTGCTTAGTCTCTCCAAGATGACCTCCCAGAACTGCTCAAAGACCAGCCAAATCACAGATAAAGAGATGATGCCACACCGGGTGGTTGTGGCGTACGCCTTTAATCCCAGCACTTGGGAGGCAGAGCCAAGTGGATCTCTGTGAGTTCGAGGCCAGCCTGATCTACAGAGTGAGGTCCAGGACAGGCACCAAAACTACAACAGAGAAACCCTGTTTCGGAAAAGGGGTGCGGGGGGTGCAGTTCGGTCTATAGAGTTCCAGGGTTACACAGAGAAACTGTCCTGAAAAAATGGGAAAAAAAAAAAAAAAAAGACAGAGACCAGTATGAACTGCCCCTGGTCCAGGAATGAGTATAAGTCATTCAAGACAGTTTCTAGCCCCAGAAAGAACCCAGACCTCTTTCCCACACAACTCCTGCACAAAATTTCGTCATTAAAATTACACAGAAATTTTCAATGCCACATATTGCCTGGGGCCTCTAGGAGCCCTCTGGTTGCCTTCCCAGTGGCCTGTGACAGTGACCACTGTTCCTTTCCCTTTTGACCTTCTTTCTGAATCTAGCTTGTCCTTTTCCCCAAACCAAGTCCAACATCCTCAATGAAGCCAGCAGCTGTAGCATCTGTAACTCATTCTGGGGAACTGACACCTGGTCAGGATTGTGACCTTTCTCCCCTTGCTCTCAGCTTCCAAAGGGCTCCAGTCCCAACATTCTATCAGCACTTTCTTGTGGTGGCAGTGTTCTGTTTGTTAGTCTGAAATAGGTTCTCAATCTATAACCCAAGCTGGCCTCAAACTGGCAATCCTCCTGCCTCAGTCTCCTAAGTACTGGGGTTAGAATCATGTACCACCACACTCAATTCAGTGTTTTATTCACATGTATTCCATGGTTCTGCCTTCAGGATCCACAGACCTACTTAAGGGTTACAGCTGATCCACAGAACAGCAATGATATTCACCTACTAGCTTACAAAGTGCAAAGACTATAGGCATAGACCAACAATACCCACAAAGACCTCGTCTAAAAAAAGAAAAAGGGTGGGCTGGCAAGATGGCTCACAAGTATAAGTACGAGCTTAAAAGGATCACACTGGAGTTCCATCCTCAGAACTCAAAAAAAGACATGCAGTGGCTCAAATCTGTAATCCTATCACTACTACAGCAGGATTGGAGGAACAGATAGCAGGCATCACCCAGAAACTCTTGGCCAGCTAGCCTGAATTACATAGCATGGCAAAATCAAAAGACCTTGCCTTAGCAAAGTGGAAGGAGAAAACCAATTCCCAAAGGTGTCCTCTCACCTCCAAACATGCTGCAGCATGTATTCACATACCCTACAAAGACAATAATAACAGATCAAATCAAATCAATAAATACTAAGACAAGACAGAATAGAAGTAATGTGAGCTCTATGTATTTGTTATAAATTAGGTCATGCTCTCCCCAGAGGAAATCCAAGGAGGAAAAGTAATCAGGTGGCCCTGGGGACCCGGCAAAGTAGCCTGGGGCAGTGTCACAGATATGGCTGGTCCTTGGACAGCTCCCACATCTTTATTGGAGGAGCAGGCGTCACTGCCTTCTTAGTGGCTGCCACAGCTGAGCTGCAAGAAAAAAAAAAAAAACTTCACTTAGAGGGGGTCTGCAAAGAACACTGGAGAAGGATCTTTCTGTTTATTTGTTGTTGTTTTAATTTTTTATTGAAAATAAATTTTTCTATGCAATATATTCTGAGCAGTTTTCTCTCTCATCTCCTCCTAGAATCTCTCCACCTCCCCCACCCATCCAACTTCATGCCTTCCCTCTCTTTATAAAACAAGCTGGCAAATAAAGAAAAACAATAAAACCAAAAAAAAAAAAAAAAAAAAAACCCACATGTACACACACAATAGCACACATAAAACACAAAATCGGAAACCATAATACATAAGCAAAAGACCTGTAAGGTTACAAAATACCCAAACAAAGCATTATGAGACAAAAATCTTCAAAAATACCACTGTTTGTTTTGTGTTGGCCATCTACCACTGTGCATGCGGATTGCCCTAAGTGTAGTTCTTAGGCCCAGTGAGACTCCACTGGAGAAAACTGATTTTTCCTTTGCAAGCAGTTGTCACCTGGAAACAAGTTCTGGGTTAAGAATGGGGCCTCATATCCAGTTCCCCTCTCAGTGCCTGGACCCCATCTGGCTTGAACCTGTTCTGGCCTTGTGCACTCTGCCACAGTCTCTGTGAGGTCATATGTACGTCAGTCCTGCTGTGTCTGTAAAGCACTGTTTCCTTGATGTCTTGCATGTCCACTGGCTCTTTCAATCTTTCAGCCTCCCCTTCTGCACAGTTCCCTGAGCCCTGGGTGTAGGGGGGTGGGGAATTTGATGATAGCATCCCAAATAGGAATGAGTGTTCCACTCAATAACACTGTCTGGTTGTGGTCTCTGTATTAGCAATGGGGAAGGACCTTAAGCGCTGAAGTTACTTGGCCTTTCTAACCCATATTTCCCTCGTTAGTAAGATGGTCATGCCCACCCCAGTACAAACACACCCACTGAGGTTTCTGGATATGGAGTGCAGAGGGCAGGTATCTCAGAATGCCCAATCCCCAATGAATACATGCTGGGAGCTGGCATGGGCCATGAGAAGCTTCCGTCAGCCTGCCCTGACACCAGCCAGAACCTAGCCTGGGATAGCTCGAACCCTCCCTTTCTACTTGTACTCCAGTGTGGACAGACTCCAGAGCTCCAGTGTGAACAGACTCCAGAGCAGGATGCTGTGTGTTAGGTCCCACAGAAACCTGGCATGGATAGCTGAGGTACCTATTAACATATCAAAGCCCACATTGGAGCCAGGCTCCCTGGGCTCTTCTCAGCATTTCTACCCTAAACCTCTCTAGCCCCTAAGCTTCACCTCCCTTCTCCCAGTTTTCCTTTCCTATATAACCCAGCCAGTTCCACAAGTGCACTCATGGCTCGACTCTAGGTTCTCCTCTCTTTCCTGGTCTTCTCTCTTCTCTCTCACTCTCTCCTCTTATGGCCCGGTCTATTCTGGCCATGTTTTGTCTGTACCTTTCCAGATGCCTCTGGTTGAATTCTCACTCATATCTATAATAAAAAACCTTCTCCTCAACCATATCTAGGAGCAGTCATGTCCTCATGTTTATTCACTGGGTAATGGTTGTCCACTGTCCTTCCTCAGGTAGTGAGTACCACACAAACACTCAATGGCAGGTGCACACAGGCACAGTACTAGTGACTTAAGGCCAACCCTTGAGCTGGCGGAGCAGAGTATAAAATGTAAAAAGACAACACTAACACTTAAGCCCAGACTGGGCTACATGGGGGGGTGGTGCTTAAGTGGCATGCACCTATAGTACTTTAAAAAAAAATCTAAAGCAAGCAACTAGATCCCCTGAGTCCGAGAGTTCAAGGACAGCCAAGGCAAAATAGTAATGTATGTCATTACTATCTAGCTCTTAAAAATATAAAGACAAGGCTGGGCATGGAGACACATACTGTGATGGCTATTCTTGGTTGTCAACTTCACTATATATGGAATTAACTAAATCCAAAATGACTGGGCACACCTGTGAGGGATTTCTCTAAATTAAATTATTTCAAGTGGGAAGACCCACTTCTAACCTGAATCTTTGAGGTAGGAAGATAAACCTTTGGGTGGGACAATCCACCTTTAATCTGGACCACACCTTCTGCTGACAGCCTATATAAGGACATGGAAGAAAGAAACCCTCTCCCCTCTACTCCCCTCTCCCCTCTCCTGTCTCTCTCTGTCTCTCTGCCTGCCTACTTGCCTGCCTGCCTGCCTACCTGCTTGCTTGCTTGCTCTCTCATTAGAAAGTCTGGCATTAGAGCCTACTTTGGGATTCCAGGCTATAATGAAGAGGAGCTGAGACATCCAGCCTCATGGACTTAACAACTACAGTGTTTATCTAGCATACCAAAAAGCCCTGGGTTCAACCCCGAGTATCACAAAAAAAAAAAAAAAACAAGTGTGATAGCACATTCCTGTCAGTACTTAGGAGTTGGAGGTAAAGGAATTATGAGTTAAGTTCTCAGCTACATAGTAAATAGAAAGTCAACTCTGTCTCAAAAAATAAAATAATAAACAGGCTGATGGCTGGGTAGATGGCTTAGTGGGTAAAAGTGCTTGCTATGCAAGCCTGACAAACTAAATTTGATCCCTAGGACCCACTTAAAAAGCTGTACGTGGTGGTGTGCATCTGTAACCCCAACACTCCTACAAAGAGATAGGAGGCAGAGCCAGCTCATGGGCCAACCAGCCTTTAGCACACAGCACAGCAAGAGAAACAAACAAAACCTTGCCTGAACAAGGTAAAAAGAGAACCAACTCCCAAAAACTGTGCTCTGACCTCCACACACTCTGTAATATGCACACCTATTCACTCTATCTCTATCACTGTCTCCTCTCTTCTCCTCCCCCTCATACACATACACACACCACACACAAAATAAACGTTTTCTGTTTGTTTGTTTGTTTTTTTGAGACAGGGTTTCTCTGTGCAGCCCTAGCTGTCCTGGAACTTACTCTGTAGACCAAGTTAGACTCAAACTCACAAGATCTGCCTGCATCTGCCTCCTGAGTGCTGAGATTACAAGCATGCATCACCACAACTGGAAAAAACTTTTTTTTTTTTTTTTT